CTTATAATCAGATTTGGATCCCTTACTCCATATTTTTTAAAAACATTTGTTTATTTATACATACAGAACTGGGGTACAGGCCAGAGGTGCAGGGGTGGTGACAGGATTCGCCAGAGACAGAGTGGGGAGCAGAACAGGCCGGGATGAAGTATACTGCTGAGGAGAGCAGTGGGTGGGCCAGGAGAGGTCTGCTGCACCCGTGGATCACCTCTGGGCTGGGGATCGAACTCCCGTTGAAGTGGCTTTAGCTTCTTAGTGCTGTGCTTTAACCTGCTACGCCACCAGGGAGGGCCTTACCTTACTCCATATTTTAAAGCTAGAATCCATTTTAATGACACTAGTAACAACAGCAGCAGCTGCAGAGCAGTAATGGCTCAAGTATACCAAATACTTAATATGCACTTGGAATTTTCTAGGTGCTTTATGTTGATGATCTGTTAGTGATTCCACTTAACAGATGAATAAACTGAAGCAAGCAACTTGGCTACTCTCAGAGTAAGTAAAATCCTGAGCCTGGATTTGAAGCTGGAGTCTGATTTGATAACTCATTCTTTCATTCATTCAACAAGTATTTATTGAGCCACTCTGGGGCAGCCATAGTAAAAAAAGCAAAAGTCCTGCTAATGTGACACTTCTTTTCCAGTGCAGGGAGACAGACGAAACCCATCATGCTAAACAAATGCTCTGTGTATTTCAGATGTTGTGGTAAATGCTGGGGGGGGGGGGAGGGGGGCAAGGGGAGAAATAATTTTGAAAGAAGACAGCATGGGACAGGTTTGTTAGAGAGACCTGACTAAGAGGGTGGCATATGAGCAGGGTAACTAAGGGTGGTAGGGTTGGGAATTTCAGGCAAGAGAAAAATCAAGTGTAAAGGTACTATAAGGTAGGACTTGCTGGGTGTGTTCAAGGATCAGACCCAGGTGGCCAGACTCAAGGACAGACAAGAACAACAGCACTAAGGACAGAGAAGGCAGTGTGTGTTATATCTTGAAGGCCACTGGGCTTCTAGTCTGCGTAAGATGAAGGCCAAAGAGAGGGGAGGCGAGGACACTGAGCACAGGGAGGAAGTGGGGAGGCAGGGCCTGTTTATTCATCACAGACAATACTTTCAGGAGCCCACAAAAATGTTTTAACATTTTTCTTAAATAAATAAACTAGATTGCTACCAGTACAGTCATAAAAAATAATTTATAAAAAAATTCTTTCAAGGACGGGACCTACAAATATAAAATACCGAAAGCCCATGAAAGATATAATGTAGTCCTGAAGGGCGGTAGAGTCAAACTGTGTTTGGGTAGTATCTCTGTCCATGCATAGTTCCATGGATTCTCTTAACGAATTCATTTATTCACATTCCGTTGACACAGGGCCCTCTTTTCACTAAAACAGAGACACTTTTCTTACATAAGAGCTACTGTATTTCTAGCACCGAGAGAAAAGATTACTTTCTCCATGTCCTGTGGTTAGTAGACATGTTATCTCAGAGAAATGAAATTCCAAGTCTGAGAAATGATACACAGCATCTCTTGGTGGGTGATGTTTGGCTGGTTTGAGTAATTCTGTTTAATCTAATTCATTTATTAAGAAATCTTCAGAAAATTACTCAAGATTGAACTAATAAGTTTTTTGGTAGGTCCTATCCTTGAAACGTCTCTGCAACATCCAACAACAGGTTGAGTGCTTTTCAGATTGTGAAGCTGTTCTGAGGACCCGCCCCCCACTCCAGACACACACACTCATGCACACACATTTGTGCTCCTCAGTGAACACTCAGTGGGTGACTTGGTGATAGTAGTACAAGCAGGTTGAAACTCTGGCCCCTTTACCCCACCATTCAATAGCAGCTCTGGTTGACTTATGGGAACCATATTAGGTTTTACTTGAAGAATATCTTCTGAGACTAAATAAAACTTGTAAACCATTTTCTGTAACTGAATGTGGTAATCTTTTTCCAAGATGGTATTTTTGAGCACTGATGTACTTTTAAATAAGACAAATGTATTTATGTGTTTGTGTGTGATGTACTTAAAGGGAACAATAAGATTTGTATTTTGATATAATGATACAATGAACAAAAAATGTGACATACTTACTCCATTTATCCTGTTCACCTCACTCTTATTGGTTAGACAAGTCCTACAACATTTGGCATGCTCTGAGATCTCCATTAGTTGAAGAATTATAAAGAAACTATATTTTTGGCATTAAAGTAAAAGGTTCCCATTAGGTTTTGTGACTGACAAGGAAGAGAGGCAAAGGGGTGCACAATTCTAACTCCTAAAGGCTCTATTAACAAATAGGGTACTTGGCTCTGGTTGCTTCTGATGGGGAACATTCAACCTTATTGACATTCTCTAGGATAAGATCCTGAAACAGCCAAACCCTTCAGCAACTGGGGGGAGGGGAGGCTTTGAGTGTGAGCCCAATTACAAGAAGACTTTCCTCCACTTTAAAAAACCTTCCTGGGGTTGATTTTCATAAAGGTACACTTCCACTTCATATTCTTAGCCATTTATCATCACTAAGTAGTATGAAATGAGCACCTTCCTGGCTCACTGATTCCAAATCCAACACAAAAACTCGGGCTGCCCCTTCCTGTAATACTTATAATACTGCTCCCACCACCAAGGGCTCTTCCAGACTTGAATCCTCCCTCTACCCTTAGGCCACTCCTAACCTGGATCTTCCCTCTGCCCGTTGGGCCTGCCCCAGACTTGAATCTTCCCTCCACCCCCCAGGGGCTGTGCCTGGCTTGTCTTGCATATTTTTGGGAGAATTTGAGTCATGGCACAGGATTTCGACATCTTGCTTTTTTCACTTGAATTCTGGACCTGTCAACTTCCTGTACTATTGGCTTTTGGTGCTGAATAACTTTTTTTGTTGGGGTGGGGCATTTTGAGTATTGTAGGATATTTAGCAACACCCCTCCCCAGTTGTCCAGCAACTAAAACAAAACAAAACAAAAAACTATCACCCCACAGCCCCTGGAAGAAGTGGTGGGTGGGAGTGGAAAGGAATAAAACCATTTTCTATTAAGAACCACTGCACTCTGATCTCTGTGAATCCTGAATCAGAAGCCCTCAAAAATGTCCTGATCACCACAAAAAATGGTTCTTAGAAGACCTTACACTCACATAATTTAACCAAGACAGTTCTCTTAACCAAGGCTGCACATCACAATCACTCAGCTATACAGCAAAGACCAGCGGACATTTGTTGTTTGGAAATTTCCCAGATTTTATTTGTATACAGGATGGACAACCTCTGCACTGTATGTTCTTAGTAGCCTCAGTACTTATAAAAACTCCAAAAAACTCCAATTTTATTTCAAAAAGGAAATATGTAGGTAGTTTCAGAGCAAGAAAAAAATTCCTTGTGTGGATCGATTATTGAACACAAGTTACTGAAGACAGTTCACAATGGCTTTTTGTTGTTCTCATCACAAAATAACTGGGAAATTGGATGCTCCTGGGAATGGAAAACTTTTTAGTGGTTTGACTGAAGTTTATCACTTCATGGAGAACAATTTCTTACAGGCATCACAGAGATGCTTTTGACCAAAGTGACAAATATTAGAGAACTTCACAGGGAAGAACTTGAGCAAGATGTAGTTTGAATGTAGTTTGGGAGTGGCTGGGGAGGAAGATATGAAGACTTAACAAGACCACGGATGGGCTAAGAAGGAGGCCTTTTGATAATGTTTCTGATAGTGAAAAATATGTCCAAATTGCCACCTCTTTTCTTTGTTAGTACTTCAGTAATAGTAGTGATAAAATCTAAACAAGGAAGGTAGTTGTTGTAGCTCAGGATCCAGGAGAATTATGTCCATAATCTGTTTATGTTCTTGCAGCTTCCAATCCCATTTCTTCTGTCTAGCCAGGAAAGACTGGGCAAGGTTTTCTATCCGTTATTGATCTTCCTCCAGGTAGAAGATGATTAGACGTTATTAAACTTCCTATTTGACATCAGGTAGCTCATTTAACTTCCCTGAGATTTGTTTTCATATCTAAAAGTCACTATAAGGATTAAGTTAGATAATATGCTTGAAAGCACTTTGTGAATTAGAAATCTTTCCAGGGACTTCTATCCAGAAATTCTACTCAGCCAGTATCCAGTGGTTTTGGGTTTTGGCTTCTAGGGCATGCATTTTATGATGGATGAGCTCAGTCATTGACTTAACTTGTCAAATGTCAATCCTCAAGTGGGCAATTAGGAAAACATATTTGAGCTAAAAGTACAGAGTAATGTATTTTTCATGACTTGAGGTGACATCGTATTTTAGGTTATTATATACTAAAGACCAGGAAATTAATTGCTACCCTCTAACATGCAAAGAGCAAGAGATTAATCTGATAAATGGTTTCCATTAAAACATTTCCATTTGGTTTCCCAAATTTATCTTGTCTCCCGAGGTTTATAAATGCCACAATATCCTTTTTCTGTGCCCTCCAGCTGCCTTCTACGGTTCCTGCATCACTGGATTTAGAGACTATCAGCATTTGTACAAACGCAGGGCACAGAATTACCAGAGAGCCCAACAGCTCCCTAACTCAGAGATAAATTAACTGAAAACACTGTTTTGTCTTTCAATCTAGTTTTGATTGGTATACAACATAATGTTTGTGGATACTAAAAACATGACTTTTGGTGACATTGCTTTATAAGGACAATGCAGCTGAGACCACCCAAGTAAGTTCATGGCCAAGGTTTCAACTTATTAGTATTAACCCAATAATAAAGATTTCGATCAAAGGATTAAATAGACAGGAAAAGCTATTTTGGGGCACAGTCAGTGCTATTCTGGAGAAAAACTGGGTAAAGAAAAAGGTCAGTGTTTTCACACCTTCACTCAGATGCTTTTCCAGATAAGGTCCCACATGGCTAGCAAAGAGAACTGAGTGGCTTCCACCCAAATCTTATGAAAACACGGACACCTGATGCCATCTTTTCTGAAGAAAACACCAGCTCTGCCAGTTGCAAACCTAGAGTTGAATCTGCTACTACATTACCACACTAAGTTCATATTTATCTGGTTTGTCTTCAAATTGTTCTGCCTCAAAGACTGGATCCGGACCTGAATGGTGCATTTCAATGACAAGAACATAGATGAGGCCCCCGATGACAGCACCGACCAAAGGGCCCACTACAGGAATCCACCAGAAGTTATTTCCAGCTCTAAAATAAAGCAAGAAATTAGTAACACACTTCTCAGCCTTCTCCCTAGCATTACTGCCTAGTTATTCACTAATCATCTTGTCTTCCTTGTGCTTCTAGTTCCCTTATAACTTAGCACCCATCAGTATAAGGGTGCCCACTGTAGTTTGGTAACCATCATCTCAGATTTTCAAGTCGACCCGATTTCAGACCATTATTCCATTGTCCCATTAGTATGTGTGAGAGTATGTCCTATTCGTCATCCTTTAAGAAAATAGAGTCCCTGACCCCATGTCAAAATTGAAGGCATTGAGGAAAAGTCAAGTCAATTATTCCTGATCTGCCCTTCCCCCAACCTGAAATAATGAATCTGGGGACCAAGAATGGAAAGGAGAGGTAGAAAGCTTCCTGAATCTCATTAATCTGTGAACCATATCCTCTTTCCCTCACCCCAGGGACTATTCCTGACTTGTGCTTGTCTTTTTTAAAAAGAATTTTAAAAAATCAAAAGTGGATGTATCAGTTACCTACTAAACATAACTAAATTCACTGCTTATTTTTTTGAGGTGACAACTTAAAATTACTTCTTGATAAGATGTTGGTGCCACGATCCTCTCTTCCTTCTAGAAATCCTTAGTGTTAGCACAGTATAGTAAAGGTAGAGTTCTGTGATTTAGCAGGTGTTTTTGTGTATTGTCACCATCTCTTGAAATCCATTTAAATAGTTCCATAAAGGACCATAAAGCACAGAGGCAAGCAATACTATACACTATATTATTTAAGGGTGCACATATTTGAGATACAGCCTTTTAAAAGCAGGGGGATGATAAACACAAAAATTCAGGATAACGCAAGGAGACAGAAACAAGAGAAATGGCAGATGTGTGTGAGGATATTACAAGGGTCTAGTTTGGGGAAGGGTCACAGCTGTTCTCTTTTTGTTATGCTTAATAACTTATGTAACTATATAACTAGTGTGTTCCACATGACCTTATGTTTGTATCAAGTTTTGATTAAAGAAGATAATAGAGGGCATAAGCAGAAAACTAGAGTCCTGGATGAGAGTTTTTGAGAGACAGTTCTAATCTCAGGACTCTCTAGAAGGTCTTAGGACCAGACTTCCTTTGTTTCTCCATCTGCACAGGGGTCTTCCCACTGGGATCATCCCAGCACACTCCAATATCAAGTCAGACCAGGACAACTGGAGGGAAGAGCATTGGGACAGAGCAGAGCAGCCACCAGATGTCACTCTTACTGCGTGGGAGAGAGGGACCCTGCTCTGCTGTGCTCCAGCTCCCTTTCCCACACCCCCAAATCCAGATGGACTTTTCTATGAGAAGCACATGGGCTTTAAGAACTAGGAGGCTCTCTTCTGGTAAGCACAGGATGTAAGTCTGAGCTGCCTTATTTGGTCTATCATATCCGATCTTCTGTCACTTTATTACAATGAATCTCTCACCATCATCTAACAGATTAGGGTCTAAGATCTCCGTCAACAAACATGTACTCCTTTCACTGGCTGGCCCCTCTTTCTTCTGCCAGTCAGAATGTACCAGGGTCACACGTCATATATGAAGGAGCTCAGATGTGGTTGCTTGCCTGGCCCATCTTACTCACACATGGTATCATTTGTATGTAATGATTTGGGGATGCCAGAAAAATGTCTGTTTATTGTCTAACATACTGTCACTAAGGATGTGTTCTTTCAGATAAACTATTTTTAAAACCAATATACCTGAGACCTCATCCTTTAAGTCACTAACAGCTCAATGTGAATTAGAGAACAGAACTCAGAGGGAAACCTACTACTTGAAGGAAAATGATAGTCAGGCTTGCTGATGCGCCCCTTGTTGTACCCTCCACTGGCCTCCTGTTTCCTGTTCACCATACTACATGGCCTCCTGTTTCCTGTTCACCATACTACATGGCCTCCTGTTTCCTGTTCACCATACTACATGCCATTCAGGGAGAAGTGAGAAGCTGGGAATAAGTGGGCCCTTGGGTCCAAGCTAGGCCATTTATTGAGTCTTACCTTGGATACAGAACCCCAAAAGAATAAGCTACTATAGAGATACTTTGGAGCCCTGTGATCACTGAGAAATTTTCTTGGGAACTTTTGGGTAAGGACTACCAACCAACCTGGCTTTTTCCTACCTGGCTTTTTCTACTGCTCTACTTTTAAAAATTCATCTTGCATGATCATGCCAGATTAATTTAGCTAAACTGAAATTGCAATCATGTCAAGCTTATGCCCTAAATCTACTGCTGCTGCCTATAATCTACAGAATAGGGGCCAGCAAAAATCTGAAATTTTCATTCTTGGATGATCTAACAACAATTCCCCTTTTTTGGCCTTCTTTAATGCATCCTCCCACCTAGACTAGATCATTTATCGAAACATTTTGACTTTACATTTAGGACCTTCTCTGCCTGAGATAGCCTCTTCACCCTCTGGTTAAGCCTCTCCAAATACTACAAAATATCTCCATGTCCACTCCCATAATTTTAGAAATCAGAGCTTCATATTATCTCTCAACTCCTGGAGTTAATTAGCTAAATCTCTTTCCCAGCACCTAACAGTTTTCCCCTTCTCTAAGAGCTTATGTTAGCCCCTTAAAATAGAAGATAAATAAAATAATGAGGGGCAGCCACAGGGCCTTATCTTTAGCACAGGGCTTTGAATACAGACCTGTGGCAGCCAGATGAATAAGTGAATACATGAAGGCCAATGACCTGATGCTAATAAGGATCAGAGTTTGACATTTAGCGAGTCCAACATTCTCCTACAGATGTGTCAACACAAACTTAACAAAGCAAGGAGATAATATATCTTGGCTCCCAGGCAAGAGATCTACCTATTTTAGAACCATCACTACTCTTAGAACCTGGAGTGAGTCCCCAATGGGATTAAAGGAAGGTCAAAACCCTTTGGGGGCATCTTTGTGCTAGGGGTCTCCGCCAAGGTAATAGAGGTGACTTGGTGGCAGGAGGGTGGTCTCCTAGAGCAAAATGAAGGAAGATGGGGTTAAAGGAAACTCACTAGCTAATTCTGGGCTCTTGGACTAAGGAGCTCTTTAGGACATATGTTTTTGATCCTTCATTGGAAAAATACAAAGGATCTTTCCCAGTTGAGGACATTTTCCCCAACATTTTCATGTTCTAGCAGTGATCGTTCTAGAACAGAGTTCCTCAATTGTGGCAATTTTAGTAAATGTGGCTAAATAGCTCTTTGTTGTGGGAAGCTATCCTGAGCACTACAGGATGCCTAGCAGTATTCTGGCCTCTACCCACTACATACCAAGTAATAACCTCTGCTTCCACCCTCCCCAGTTAAAGACGTCTGCCAGCACTGCCAAGTGTCCCTGGGAACAGAATTGCCCCTGGTTGAGAATCACTGCTCTAGAAGATTCATTGTGTTGTTAGTTTCTTAAAGACAGGGAATGTTGCTTGATTATGTGTGTCCCTCAACTCCTAGGACATGTCTAGGCCATAGCATTCTTTGATTTAACAACTTTTATTGAGACTTTTCATGTGCAGGCCCTTTATTACTCTCTGTGGATACAGTAGTGAAAAAGCTGTTAAGGGCCCTGTTTTCATGATGCTTCCGCTCTAGTGGCCCTCAATGCCATCTGCAGTAGAGATCTGAATGCTATCAGTTATTTAAAAAGTTTTTTTTTATGGGTGAAACTACTTAACTCACTTAAAGTCCACACAGGCATATGACTATATATACAGGCAGCCGTAAGAACTCTTAAGTCTTTTTTATTCTCAGAGCAGATATTAAACTAAAACTTGCTCACACATTGTCCCCACTTTTCTTTTTGCTATTTCCTGATGAGCCAAAGTGAGTTGCTTTTCTCACACAGAGATGTGGTGAGTAGACAGGGCAGGTCATTTGCCTTTGTGGGGAGAAGTGGAGAGGAATTAATGGGCAGACTTTGTAGCGGGAGGTTGAAACCAACAGCTTGGCCTCTTTCCTCAGCATCTGCTGAGGCAGAACACAGGGGATCTGGCTTTTCCCTCGGCACAGGTTCTCCTTTATGTCTGTTCTGCCAGAAATGACTTACTCATCAAGACCCAACTCAGCTCTCACTTATTCTGAGATGCCTTTCTCAGCTTCCCCAAGGCAGTGTTAGTCACTTCCAAAGTGTTCTTTCAGCACTTTGTTTTAGGGGTTGCCAGCATGCTTATATCATTGCTCAAGGCTAGAATCTTGGCTGATTTTGAAACTGCCTTGCTTAGTACAGTGACCACAACAGAGAGAATTTACAATAAAGGGCATGAGTGAATGACATAGCTAGTGTGGCTCACCAGACAGAGCCTTGTAGTAGTATCAGAGGATGTAAAGTCTAGCCCTAACACTGTCACAAAGTGAATCTGTAGAGGAGATATTCAACCAAAATATTTACCTCAAACCATATCTACACATCTCTCTCTAGATTTGTACATGTAAATGGAGCAGACCTATTTGTTTTAAATTCACTTGGTTCCTTTCTTTCTCTACTTCTCTCTACTTTCCCTCCTCCCTCCCAACCCCATATCAAACATCACTAGTGAAACCTTCTATACTTATCAGAGTACCAGAGTATGCACTTAACTTCCACCCTCCCATCTGAACTCTTTTGAATTTCCAAGTCAAAGCACAGCTCTCCCCTCAAAAACACCCCCTCACCTCCCTTCCATGTTACTTACGTGAAGACCCCAAAACCCCATCCTGCCAAAGCAGTGAAAAGTCTGGGACTCAGGTCTCGAGCTGGGTTCATGGCACAGCCACTGTTCAGCCCCAGGGAGGAAGAAATGACAACAATCAGGAGGCCGATGACAACAGGTTCGAGGCCTTTGGGGACTCCCAAGTTTCTGGAGTCAAAAATGGCAAAGACAATCATGAGGAGGAACATGGTGGACACTACCTGGGGAGGGAGAAAATGCAAGGGGTTTAGCTTGTATTCGCTCCACTCATACACTTCAACATTCACCCCTTTTTGTTAGAACACTCCTACTAGTAACTGATGCCTGAGTGAGCACTATGGGCCGAGTGCTATTATCACGCAAAACTGGACTTTGAGCTCTGATACACTCTCATTTACAGAGTAGAAACCTGGCCGAGGTGACACACTGCGTCTTGGCGGTTAGGTGTGGACCTGGAGACCTCCCCTCTAAAGACAGTTATCTTTGCTACACATCACTGCACAGCGAGACAGAAAGACAAGCTGCAGGCAGAAAAGCAAGCGAAGAGGCCTGTTCAAATTGGCGAGACAAAACAATGTGAGACAGCAATCGCTTAATTGTTGAAATGGAAACGCGCAGAAAGTTCTAAACAAAAATAGGATGAAGAAGCAAAACACTGGAGTCAAGTGACTTGTAATGAAAAAATGCAAACACCGAATGTAGGGAAATCATATTTGTTCTTGCAGGCTTTACTGGTAGAACTAAACTATATCTTTTAAAGGAAAGTCAGCAGTATTTATGTGTATATAGTAATGTCTATAATAACTTAGCTATACACTTAAAAAAATCTCTATATCATTTGAACCAGTTGGGTATCTGAGCTCCAAATTGTGAAAGTAATCTAAAATACAGACTAATCATAAAACAAATATATTCACTGAAGCATTGGTTATAGTACTTGACAAGTAGAAGTACATCAGTAGGGACAGTACATCAATTAGGAAGTATGATTAGGAAATAGCTAATCGTACAGTTTCTATTGTATAGTCTATTTTATAACCATTAAAAATAATAAGGAAGAGTACAATGGACTGTGGTGGAGGATTATGGGTGTTCTGATGGTGGGGAACTATGGTGACAACACTTGAGGGGAGAAAAATCTCAACTGACAGAAAATAAATTAGCAAGGCATTTCATTAAAGAACTATATATAGGGCACCTTTTGTGGCACAGCGGGTTAATGCACAGCACTAAGAACTAAAGTCACTTCCGCATGAGTTCGACCCCCACCCTAGAGGTGACCCACATGGCATAGCAGACCTCTCCTGACCAGCCGGCTGCTCCCCTCAGCAGTGTGCTTCGTCAGTCAGCCTGTTCTGCTCCCCACTCTGTCTCTGGTGAATCCTCTCACCGCCCCTGTACCTCTGACTTGTACCCCAGTTCTGTGTACATAAATAAATAAATCTTTTTAAAAAATACTATATATAAAAATAAAAATAATGAATATTAAAGCTATGTAGTAACATTGTAAAGTGCGTATGCTATCTCTATTATGTAAAACATAGAAAATAAGATGTGTAGTAAATTTTATATGGAAAAACTCACATAAAATGTGTAAGAGAATACACTATAGGTACCTGAAGTGGTGGGTTATGACTGCTGTTTGTCCCACTTTCTATTTTCTGAACTTTCTAAACTATTGTTTTACTTTAACAGCTAAATGCTAGCTAACATTTACTGAATATTTATTATACATCCGTTACTTCATATACCTTATCTCATTAGAATTTCATAATAACCTGTGAGGTAAACCCCATTATTATTCTCAGTTTACAAAAGATAAAGCTTGGGTTAAAAGAGGTGAAGGAACTTGCCCCAGGGCACCCTGCTCATAAACAGAAGAGTCAGTCTGAGAACATGGCAACTGATTTTAGAGTTTAAGCTCTGCATCATTTCATCTGCTTCCCAACATCATATGACTGAAAGAATCTGTATCCAAAGAGATAGGCCTTTCCTAGAGAAGTGCTCTTCTCTAGAAACCCTTTCCTGACTCTCCCACACAGAACTTTCCCCCTCTGACCTTTTATAGCATACTGACTGACTTCTGCCACAGCCCTGATGGCTCTGCAAAAGAGTGATATGTGAGACTGCACAGCAGCGCCTGAACTCCAGGGAGAAGGAACAGCCTGGATCTGTACCTGGTTCAATTCATAAGTGTTCATAAATATTTATCAGCTGAATGAATATTTATTAATTGAACTACAGACCAAGCTGAACTTTATTTACAGCTAAATAGTTTTGCGATCTCAAGAGGAGGTGACCCCGAAATATGACCCTGGTGGCCAAGAGTTCTGTTGGATTCCCACTGACTGATAATTGATACTTTGCTGACCTCCCCTGAAAGCCTAAGGAATACAGAATATTCAAGAACAGCTCAGGATTGGAACACCAGAGTTTCCTAATATTTGTCTTCTTAGGTATATATAGTAACAGGTTTAAAACCGTGGGTCCTTAGAGAAACTGGCAACTCACTTTTAGATAGGGAACAGTAAAGAAAGCATATAAGATGACAAATACAGATAAACACCAGGCAGACATGGCCAATTCTCAGTGAGGTTGGACCCCCTCCCCACCCCCCACTAACTAGCAGAAAATTCTAGAAACAGTTTCCTTGTGACCAAAATATTTGGTGAAATCTTGAGGCTAAGAATTGGGAAATGTAAAATTGTATAAAAGTCCACTGGAAGAACAATACTGGAGGAAGAAAGAAACGGAAGAAAGGGAGGGGGAGAGTAGGAAATGCCATTTATCAGAAAATTAAACTGAGTCTTTAGAAAGTTTTCAGTGGCTTGTGCAGAGGCAAAAGCATGGGAAAAGGCAGGAATGGACTGAGTCTCCAGGCTTGCTTCAGAATTGGGAGGGCTGTGCCACACTCCTGCCTTGGTGTGACCGTGGTCCAGCCCACTTGGAGAGGGCAAAGGGGGAAGAGACAGTGGTTCCTGGGCCCGTTCGAGAGGCTGCCTTTGGGGGGAAAGCACATGACCTGGGGCTCCACCTTGATTCTCACAGTCACAGAACAGCGCCAAGGTACAGGGAGGTGGCTGTGATTGCAAATCACAAGGGACAGAGACATCACTCTTTTCAGTGCATGTCAAGGTTTGAGAGAGAAAGTCAAGTATTTTTTCTTTCACCTCCAATGGGAAAAATCTGAAATCACATAAAAAATTTCTATAGATCTTTCACCCAATTCCATTTTCTTCATTATAAGACAGATAGGACTGAATTAAATGGAAAATAGCATCCCTGGGAAATCCTGTAACTCTTATTCATCCCCAAAGTCTATGTTGAGGCATCTCTATGGTCCTTAATGACTCAGAAAATGCATAGCTTATTACCAGTCAATAAGGTTTAAGTGCGTCTACCTTCCCTGTCATTCCTTCCCTGTCATTTCTACAAGAATAGATTCCTCGTTCTTTAAAACTAGGAAGAATCAACCAGTCATTCTTTCTCTTAGAAACTGACACCCACAGACCCACAGACACTGGGGACACCCATCATCTTGCCTTCAGCTATTTCTTCCCCTTCTTCCATGCTTCTCTTTTAGCAGCCTTGAGTGTGGATAAATGGGGGAGCATTTGTGATAACCCAGGCTCAACCACACTTTGCAGTCCTTGAATTGAGACAAAGTATCTTTTCTTGTGGCCTCTGAATTTAGATCAAGTGCACAAAAGAGACATCAAAAGCAAAGCGAATGCCATTGTCCTTACAGGGGCTGAAATACCCAGTCATCTACTCTTAACTGGCTGAAACAAGTATATGTGTCAAAGAGGAAGCAGCAATACTATTAACAGCATTGACTTGAGCGAAGGCAGATATTTGTCAGAAAAATGTAGGTTAGGCCTACTGACCTGACCTTGAAGACATAGTCTTTCCTTTCTGATAGGCTTGTATATATCCCTCTTACTAGATCATGCCTTTTCACCAAAGCCAGGCCTTTGTGGAATATACACTTACTTGATCTGCAAATGCATTAGCCAGAGATAGATATGGAGCTGGGTATGTTGCAAAAATCTGTGCTGTTGCATTTTCTCCCACGATGAGCAATTTTCCACCAGCAAAGGACATAAGTCCATCTATGGAAGACAGAGCCTGGCACGTTAGTGTTCTCTGGGCAAGACTGAGTGAGGCCTGCTAAAGAACTGCAGGCATGTTAAGCTTGGCAGATTCATAACTTATCTCTCTCTACTGCATTGTGTTCTAGATTTAGAGAATGTCTAGGGAAGTTCTAGGTCAGAGAGTCAAAGACAGAAATCCATTGCTGCCCTGGGTCGTTCATTCCAAACTTGAGCCAAACCCTTAGCCAGTGGGTCTTGGGAACCAATCTTGTTTGGGGGATTTCTTGGAATTTTTGAGATTGACCAAAAATGAAATTGAAGCTTGGACCTACGCTAGGCAGAACTCATAGCTCCAAGAGCGTTGTGAGTGTTTGAGAGCGTCATGGTGTGAAGACGCCTTGGAGCAAGGGAGGTAACAGTGCCTGACATAGTTAATGTAAACCCAGGACTCTCAGACTTTTGGCCTGGTTTTGATTTTGGTTCTCTTAGACACTAATTCTCAGAAAGATACTCTGTGGGAGAAGGCCCCTTTTCATGAGGTATCTCTCTAAGGCTTGATTCATAAATTGTAGTTCCAGAGGACATCAGTTTGAGAGTCATTGTATTAGGTTGGACAGAAGGAGCTACTTTAATAGTTGATCTCATTGAATCCTAGGATTGTTTAATTTGAAGAGCCTTAGAAGTCATCTATTTGAAGCCCCTCATTCTCCAGAGAAGGAAGGAGGCAAGAAAGTCTGATGACATTTTAAAATCACACAGCTTCTTCGGACCCAGCACAGAACTACCGGCTCTGTGTTCCAGTATTGCTTCTGTGGTGGTTGGGCAGAGGGGACTGCGGTCTCTGCTGTGCCCCTTCCTTTAAAGACAGTTCCAGATTCCTTCTTTAAATACTTGCTCATCAAATCCTTTACCACCTGCCAATGCCCCCTTTCCACGTCATGTCAGAGACCGCTGAGGAGGAGTCACTGGTCTATTTGCAGACAGCACTGGCTGGGTCTGCTGTAGGCTTCCTTTAAGTTCTGTTTCTCACCTCCATTTAAGTTGAGAACATTTTCATTAAGAGGCTCTATGAATTTACCCTAATGATGACATTGGCCTCACCCTTAGAACTCAGAACTTGCTGTCAACTGTAGAATGCCTCCAATTCTTGCTTAGCTCACATCTTCCTACCAAGCAATTCTGCTTTTCAGTCTAAGCCAGCTCTCTCTAACCCTTGGACTCAGGGGCTCTGCTCACCATAGTAAATGCCAAAGAGGGTTGCAGCCCCTGCAAATGCTCCCAAGAACTGGGCTCCCACATAAAAGGGCAACTTGAACCACTTCATCCGCCCAAAGAGACACATTGCAAAAGACACAGCTGGGTTGATGTGGCCACCTGCAAGGAAGATAAGACAGAAATGTCAGAGGGCAGACCAGGAAGAATGATCATGAAGAAATTCTTATCTAGAGACCTCACAGGCAAAGAACTATAAAAGATGGAAAAAAGGGTTACACATGTGTGAGTAAGTTGGTATGATTAATAATCCTCATATCTTTATTATACTTTTATTATACTATATTTAACTTTCTGAAAGGAATCAGATTAAAACCTGCTATACAAAGTGGCTCATCATCCATCCATCCATCCATCCATCCATCCATCCATCCATCCATCCATCCATCTTTTGGATTTTAGATATAATGCAAAACCCCAAAGAAATAATTGTAAATTATTAAGTTCAATACTTTTTAAAAGTCAATAAATTCATACAATATGTTTATAAGGGTTAAATCATAACCCTTATAAACATGGTCCATGGTCCATGGTTCATGGTCCATCTCCAGAAGATATTGAAACAATCTCAGTATTCAAAAGAGCTGTATCTCCTTAAAAGAAACAGTCTTTAGTTGGTGGACCAAGCCTCTCACTAAGGTAAGGGATGCAGTTTTTTTTTTTAAGGTGAACACAGTGTCTGGGAAAGTTCTCTTCAGTTCTTCTGCATAAAGCACAGAAATGTAGCACATTTGGGAATGAAGTAAACTAAAGATGGTTGGAGAGATCAGCTTCCTTGATTCTTATCTAGCTGCAAGATCAGACAGAGGGTCTGCCCTGTGTTAGGTCTGCAATCTCCCCAGCTGCAGCAACCACATTTATTGCACCTCTATAAGATGCCACATTAGGGGTCTATTCGAGTGACCCTTGGGATCACCAATGACATGGGTACTTCTCCAGTTAACAGGTGAGGAAACTAAGGTGAAGAAGTAAAGTAACTACTTTAAGACCAGAATGTTAGTAAGTGGTAGAACAAGGATTCAGATCCAGGTTAACTGAACTTTAGAGCCTAAACAACTTCCAGACTTTCTCATCAGGCTTATAAAAGCTTCTGTGACTTAGTGGGCAAAAACAAAACAAAGAATTTCAAAAATCATCTTTGACCACATGGCTCACTCTTAGGGACAAAGGATGTTCATGTGAAAAGCACAGATGACATTTTATACAGAAAGGGAAATCAGAGTCACTGTTGCTTTCACTGTGACTGTACTGAAATGTGGACAGACCTTCAAGTTGTGGAATAATATGCAAGAATGAAGAAGGGACTGATACTTTGCCGTCTGAACCTTCACAGAACCTATCGGAGAGCTCATCTCGGAGAGCTCCCCCTGTGAAGGAAGCTACAGTCTAAGTGGGCTGCTGACTAAACCAAAGTGTCCTTTCTCTACCTGTTATTGAGTAATACAGCTACTCAGAGGCTAAAGGAGCAAGAAATTGGCAATATATCAAAACATGAAGGCTTGTAAACATGCTAAATTCTGGGTTTTATTTTTTTAATCCAAGAGAGTCACAATTCTGGAAACTGGCAAGAGTACAGCTAACTAGGGGAGCTGGAAACAGCGCTTAGGAGAGGATGGCAGTAGAAAGTTCTGGAAGCCAGCCCTGTTCTCTTCTTTCAAAGGCAGGTCAGAGAGTAACTTCCACTCAGTCAGCCAGGAGGAGGCCCTTGTGGGAGAACAAGGAGCCTTGAGAAATTACCTGCCATCAAAATACTTTCTCTCCAATGAGCCCAATGAGGTAGTTATTTGTCTAGCAATCTCCTTTTCCAATGGACAAATTTCCCATTGGTATGTCTGTGTTTTTTAATCCCTCATAAGTGCCCTAAGTGAGATTCCATTAATTTACCTTGGATTTCACATAATACTAGGTGTCAAAGATAGGAATGTAGCAGAAATAAACAGCTAAAATCTTTATTCAGATAGGTCAGACCACAGAGACCTAGAGAGAGGGAAAGAGGGGATGTGTCTGGAGGGTGCTTTTCACAGCAATAAGGAAAATGATTCCTTGCAGACACAAGTGGTCCTTCAGGATTACTCAAAGGACAGAGCAGACCAGTGCAGTGGAAAGAACCTGGTGAGGGGTTAGAGACAGCTGCCTCTGGTGGCAGTGCCCCCAAGTTGCCATGATGATCAAATGAGCACTCAGGTGGGCAGCCAGCACCCTAAATGTAGTTTTACAAGAGCAGGGTGGGCTCACTCCAGGTACTACTGCTAGGGACAACTCCCTAGCAGCTGCTTTTGTGATAGAGATCTCCTTTATCTTTTATTTGTCCTTAAGTAATGCTAGTTTGCTTTGCCAGTGAACGTCAATTGCTTATAACAATACTACATTAAAAGCAGCTGCCACTACCCGGTTCTAGCAGTCAGTGAAATGCTGTGGGGGGCGCTGTATCAGTAAGCCCAGTTCTGGCAGACTAGATCACAGGCACCTTCACAGAGGAGCAAGCTATGGTAACTTCCCCACTGTAGAAAGACTTTTGATACCCCAAGTCAGATGTCAGCTGACTCCACCAGTCATGACCACACAGAGGGCTCCCATTTCTGTTTATGCCCACCATACATTGCTTATTTCTGGAATCTTCAAGAACTTCCCACATGCCCACAAACTGGCATGTTAGCTGCAGCAGCCTTGACAAAGTCACCAGCATCCCATATACTTCCTCCTTTATTCCATAAGGCTGGTGTCTGTGTGGCCCTTACCAGTGGGCAGATGTGATATCTGTGCCGATCTCCAAAGCCACCAGTCAAGGAGCCCCAACAGCACTAGGTTCCAGACAGAGATGGGAAGATACACTCCCTTTCCAGCCCAATGTTACCTCATAGCAGCCAGGTGCAGACATGGCTGTTTATGTCTTGGGATCTCATAGTCTGTCAACAATTTGGTCAGCTCCTGACACTCAACCAGAAATGACCCCTAGTGGAAATAGTCCTATTGTTTCTGGCCATCACTCTTCTGAGCACAAGGACCAACTGGGAAGTCTGCATGCCATCCCTCCCTCCCTCTTGTCCTTCATGCTTCCCCTTACCCCTCCTTCCTGTGTAGTGACTGCCAAATCCCTACACACACCAGCACACAGAGACAAGGGTGGCAGTGGTGGCGAAGGGTGTTAATTATATAGGCAGGATCTGGGACCAACTTATTCTAAGTAAACATTTCAAGAAGTTCAATTCAGTTGAAATACTCCAAAATCAGTTCTCCACCTATAAAATAGCTGAGAATGTGCCCACATTGGTGTGGTATGATTTGTAGAAACCATACCTGTGAGGCTGTAGTGGGAGCGTGTGGGCAGGGGGCACAGCTTCAGAGCACCCAGCACGCTTGTCTGGAGCTGGGAGCGCATCTGGTGGCAAGGCCCGCATGGGGATCAGGTGACATTAAGCATGGCCTCCGGTTATTTTTGTTATTCAGTGCTGGGATCAGAGCAAAGGCCCGACAAGAGTGTGAACAGAAACACCGTTCATGCCAAATCCTACTGACAGGAATTTGTATCTTGAACTGCCCCAGGATGTGAGCCTGACTGTGAGATGGAAAGTGCCCCAGCCAGCACAGGGTTATTCCAGGTACCACCTCGAAGAGGCTCCCAGGAGCCTAACAATTACTCCTCAGTGTTCCAGGGGCAGCCTTATCTCACCAGGTCAGCTGGGTTAAATGCGGGATCCTCTGGTTAGGACCATTCTACCCAAAGTCCCTGGCAGTAATGCCTTTCCCATCACAGACTGTTGAAAATATTATATAACAAGGAGACAGGAGCTGTCATGTAGATACAGGTCAAATCTTTGCTGTCTCTTTATCGGCCATGGGACTTCCGGCGGCAATTTACTTAATCCCTTTTGAGGATTAAGTTTTCTAATTTCTGCAGAGTGGAGATAACAACACCCACCCTAGAGTATTGCTTGGAAAAGAAAGAGCATGCTTGCTGCCCAGGCTAGAGCCCTTCCTGGCTTGCTTATTCCTCCTTTTAGTTTCTGAGCACCCAGCCCAGGTGCTGAGAGACTCCAAGCGCCTTAGGGAGCTGGATCATTTCCATACTCCTTTCATGAGTTCCCAGGCTGTGTTAAATACCATCATTTCTCAGAAACTTGAGAATGGATTCTAATCTGTCTACCACTCTGGGCAGAATTAGACAGAGACCTTCTGGAACTTGTAGCTATTCTGCAGGGAATTCAGACTCTCTAGTTGCTATCAAGGCCCAGCGCTTGCTCTGTTGGAGTGAGCTTCACCGGGTTATCCACTGGGTGTCTGGGAAATCAGTTCAATGGGTGGGGTAGAACTAAAACAAAGAAAAGATCATATTGACAGATGAAAAATACATGCAATAGCGGCTTGAGGAAGCAGTTAATTCTGAGTTTTAGCTCCCGTCTCTGTCTCTTACTAAATGCTACTTTGCACTAGTTGACATTTTCTGGACACTTCACTTGTGTCATCTATAAAGCTAGAATCAGATACATGTGCTTGCAAGAGTGTTGAGCTGCAAATAAATTAAGGCATGCAGCATTGCACTGGCACATTGCATGGGTAGGCTAATAGAAGTTACCATTATTCCACTGCTTACCAGAGACACCTCCAGTCACATAAATGGCCATTACAACTGCCATGGCAAATCCAACATTGACAGTAACAACTCCTCCAAAATGCCCTCGACTGAGGATGGCTTGTGCCACAGAGCCACACCCAAGGACCTGGAATGGGAGGAAACACAAAAGTAAGTGGAGATGGTCATGTCACAATGGAAAGTCGCAGTAGTGAGAAGAATTTCTAAAACAAACTCATAGATTAGATTGTCTCTTATTTCATACAGACGAAATTGCAATGATCCAGCCGCACACAGATAACAAAATGTTGGTTCCAAGGCTGCATGTGGCTTACAGACGGGTTTTTGTTGGGCCTGTGCAGCACTAAAGATTTGCCTACAAATGATGTACTGTATAAATTCACACAATGATCCTTTCTCTATAAATAATTATTTCTATAGTTTTTTATTTATTATTCTGCTTTCTTATTTTAAATTAAACTTTTAATTTAAATTACAATTCATATGAATTGTAGATTCACATGAAGTTGTAAGCAATGATATGGACAGACCCTGCATGCTTTTTACCCACCAGTTGCTTTCAATTAATGGGGATTTGGTAACCCCCAGAGGGATCACTTCCCTGAGCAGAGTGGTAGTGTCTGTACACAGCACAGTGCACCCCCAACCACCACTTCACTTTACTGCACTCTCTTAGGTCACTTTCTGCTCTCTTTTTGCCCCCTTCAGGTATTTAGGTTTGGGATTCCTGCTCTTCAGGCTCCCTGCATAAACTAGATCAGGCTCACAAAAATCCTGTGAAGATCCAAGAGTGGAAAGGCCATATGCACCATGTATAAAGTTATTATAAAGAGTTTGATGAGCAAAGGAAAAAAGAAAAATGTGGAAGGACAGAACTGACAATCAAGTCACTCTTATCTCCACTGACTAACTCCTCATTCCATGTCTTTTCTCCCTGAGGAGACCATAGTTTTCTAGAGAGCAGCAGCTGTCAAGCTCCCTGCTTCTTACATGTGCCAAGCATTTACAATAAACACCCTGCCAACTGATGTGCAGTGCAAAGATTCGGTGGCCAGTCTTCAACAGTATTCAGCCAATAGATTATTTTGGAGAATGGAATCAGTATTCAGTAAGATTTGGGATAAATATACTATAGTACAATACTCAGCAGAATACCAGGCAATCATGAAATCGAATGAGGAAAGGAGATCTGTGTGTAACAAAAGCAAAAAGCTTCCCCAAGGTGTATTATTAAGTTGAAAGGAAAAGAAGTAGTGCAAGGTGAAAGCACACTGCCAATTGTATTAAAAATATAGTATAAGTATTCCTTTTTTATGCATGGCCTATCTCCATGAAAACATTAGCAACAAGAGATGGGATTAAGCCCTGTGGGAGGAAACTAGATGACTGAGAAAGGCATTGAAAGAAAACTTTTCATTGTATATTCTTTTCTTCTTATGAACTATGTCTTCTACTTGGGCTGCTGTTACAAAATACTACAAACTGGGTAGCTTATAAACAATAGAAATTTATTTCTCACAGTTTTGGATGCTGTAAGTCCAAGATTAGGGGCCCAGCCTGGTCAGATGAGTGTCCTCTTCCTATTGCAGACTTCTCTCCAGTCCTCATGTGGTGGAAGGGACAAGCCAACTCTTTGTGATGTCTCTTGTGAGGGTACTAATCTCATGACATGAGTCCCTCATGACCCCATCTCCTTCCAAAGGCCACACATCCCAATATCACCACCATCAGCATTAGGTTTTCAATGAATCCATTTTGATAGGACACAAATATTCAAACCATGGCACTATGTATTTCCTAATTTAAAAGAAGTGGGTCTACGTATTTATTGAACAACCAGTTAAAACCATCTGATTCTGGAAGAAACATTTGGTAAGAGGGTAGTTAGTGAGAACACTGGACCCAGTGCACACAGGTTTGGTAGGAGAACAGCAACAAAACGAATGATCAGTCTCTTGCTGTGGCTTAGAAAGCAGCAAGCATGGTCCTGGCGGAATATGTTCTGGACTGCTGAGTCATTAGACCACTGTTCTTTATATATCAGTTCAACTTCCTTCTAGAATTGAGTCCAGTTTGTGTTTGATAAGTAAAGAAGAGCAATGAACCAGATGGCATCAAACAATGAGTGTTAGTTATGGGCATGTAAGGAGAGGTTTTAGAAACAAATGTCTGTAAAGAAAAAGTGATTCAGAAAATGGAGGAGGAGAGAGAAAGGTCTACAGGGGAGGGAAGAGCACAAGGGACTGTGATGATGGGTCACAGGAGCTGTGGTGGTGGGAGAACTGTGGGGGTTATACCTGAGGGGAGAAATCCAATACTCTCCACAAATAAATAGTGATGTAAGAAAATACATAAATTTAACAACCACAAAAAAGAGTGGTTAAGAATTTAAAGGCTTCTCATCAGGAGGACAACAGGATAATAACCAGTGAGAGTATCTCTTCACAAAGGTATGAAAAGGACCATCTGAAACTGAAATATGAGAATTCGCACATAAACAATCCTTTGACAGGGATAAGTTGATTCTTAATAGCTCACATGAGGTACATTGGGAGGTCCTTCCCAGGAGTACAAGTCAAGGGATATTTTAGATAGATAGATAGATAGATAGATAGATAGATAGATAGATAGATAGATAGATAGATAGATAGATAGATAGATAGATGATAGATAGATGACAGATAGATAGATAGATAGATAGATAGATAGATAGATAGATAGATAGATAGATAGATAGATAGATAGATATCGATATAGATATGTAGCTATAGATAGGATGCTTTGGGTTTATTCGTCTCTGGAAGAAGAGAAATTATCTGAACGATCATTTCATGATCTTCCTCCCTAATACCTCTGGCTATAAGATAGGTTGACTTGCTTTAGTTTTAACTGTTAGACCGTTGGGAGAAGCAGGTGGCTTGTATTCCCAGGAGGTACTTGGTGCATGCACCCCACACATGGCACTCTCGGACTTTAATCACAGACTTGGCTCCAGACCTTACAAGGAGTGCCAAATAAAGCTGCAGAGGGAACATGTTCCCTTATCCCCTCTTCAAAAACATTCTATGAGTCCATTTCATAACCTACTGAGTTCACCTAGACTTGACGTCACTTTTTCTAGAATCCCTATTGCTCATAACCATCAGAATTAAAACCACATTGGTGCTTTTCTCTTTTTAAAATTAAAGTTAACTAAATGTCCTGGGTGCAACTTTCAAGATAACTGGGTTTTGTGTAGCATCTTCTGAAAAGAGGAATAAAATTGCTAACAGCTGAGATGACTAAGTGTCTTCTCTCTTTCACAGTCTGATGTGCCTGCAACCATGCAAAGTCTAGAGAGGCGCAAAGATGTTAGTTGGCCTCAGTGGGCCCGGGAGGGTCCTGGCCTAAGTCTCTCTATGATTAATACTCCCCCCTTCCACTCTAGATGCTGAAATTACTTTTTTCTTTTCTTTTGTGGGGGGTCGGTAGCCAGTGCTGTGTACTGCAGGAAAGGTACAAGAGGTAAAATGAGTATGTGGGGATACCAGTTACCCTCATCAGAAATCACCACTTGCAAGACTTCAGTAGAAATTTATACCATTGCTTTTCATTTTTAAATGCATTTACTTGAACCTGAGAAGTGATGAGACAACAGGTAACTGCCTACTTTATGTGCCTTTGCCAGCCACTTCCTGCTGCATTCACAACACAAAAGAAGCAGATCTTGGAAATTCTATTGTATTGAAATTCGACTGTCTGATCACTGGGGAACTGGTCTCTTCCTCTGGTTTCCTTCTTCTGAGTGTCCAGTATACTCAGAACTTCTTCCCCTTCAAAATGAGAGAGCTGAGTAATCTTCTAAGTAGTATGATAAAATTTCCAACATGATTCCCCACTCTAGCTTTTTTTTTAAAAGATCGATTTATTTATGCATACAGAACTGGGGTACAGGCCAGAGATACAGGAGTGGTGAAAGATACAGGAGTGGTGTCTCGCCAGAGACAGAGTGGGAAGCACAACAGGTGGATTGACAAAGTAGACTGCTGAGGGGAGCAGTAGGGAGATAGGAGGGGTCTCCACTCTAACTTTTAAGAACCATCACTTCAAGCCCATTCTTAAACACAGAAAGAACTATTATCTCCTCTATTTTCCTGGCCCTCCCTATCTGGGCAGTCTTTTGGGGACCCGTCACCCATTCATATTCTCTTACCAAACTTAACCTCTTTTCTCTGAAATCCAGTTGTGTTATAGGTACTAGACAATTAGTGCTTAGCTGTTTTCGGCATGTTTGATCAATTTTATTATCTACAAAAAAAGCTCTAAGATTCCTTTTCATGCCAATAGCCAACAATACACAGGTCTATACTTGGGTTCCCTTGGAAGTTTTTGAGTTCCATTGCTCCTTCACAAGCCAGCTATCCACCTTCAAGTTCTCTACCACCTTGCCAGGATCCAATACCTGCTCAGCCTATCTGCCTTATACAGAAGAGCTTGAAAAAATCACAGAACCACATAAAAAGTCATGGGTCTAGTCTCTATCCTGTCCTTCCCTGTGCCCCCAAATTCCTTATTCACCTTTCATTCACATTCTCCCAACAGCTTCTTTTTTCTCAAACTAACACACCCAAACTCCATTCTGTAAATAACGCCACTTTCTATCTGACTCAGAAGCTCATTGAAGCTCAATCAATGGTAATTCAGATTATGACATACACATTGTTTTCCAAATATCAAAATCTGTGTAACTTACTTGCTTACTGTGATAATATTCATTTTGCTTGTGAATCTGCAATTTGGCAAAGGTTTGGTATTTCATGTCTATTCCATCTGATGCCCAATATGATAGTTCAAAGTTGGACAGAAATTATCTGAAGGTTAAAGGTTCTACATAGCTAGTGGTTGATGGCTATTAGCTGATGCCTTTGCTGGGGTGTGGGCCAACAAACTTACAAATGGCCTCTTAATGTGGCTTGGCTTCTTCACCACACGACATATGGGTTCTGAGTTCGAAGGGTGAATGTCACATACATTGTAGATTTTGCATTCTTAAACCCTGTGCCATGCTCCCTTTCAGCAACAGTACTATGCTTATTTAGAGCATGAGAGCGTACAAACTGAATTTGATAGAGGTATTTTCCCTGCAGC